GAGTGTAATTTATTCTTGTGATGGCAAAGCTGAATTTTGAAGGTCACATTTTTCAGAAATCATGCTGATATGCTAATTTGGTGACAAAGAAACATTTAATTTTATTATCAGTGTTGAGAACGCTTTTGCCGCCTAATATTTTATGGAAACTGTAATACATTTTTTCAGAATTCTTTGATAGATAGAAAGTTCTAAATAACACCATTTATTTTAAATATTATTTTATGACATTATAAATGACTTTACTGTCAGTTTTGATACATTTAATGCATCCTTATAGTATATAGTGCTGTGGTCTCAGTGAGTTTAATGCCGCTAAATGCTGTGGTGCATGATTAGAGCATTACAGGTGAAGTCTGGGCTAAACTAATGATTTGGACTGAGATCAGAAGAGCATTTTAGGTTATTTATTGGGGCCTCCAGTTGGACTGTAGAGAACAGGGGGAAATAAACTAATAGCCCTTCTTTTAATCTGGTGATTTAAAATTCTTCCTTTGCCAACGACTTACTGGAACTGTTCGTAAAAATGGCCATGTCATGGAAAACTGGAATTTTCCCCTCTTTCATTCTTTTAAAAGCATTTGGTGCATTAAATAGACATACTGTAACGTTCACACTGCAAACCTTCCTCCCAAAACCACCCAGATATTTCAGTGCCACTTCTATATTCGGCAACAGTGTTCATTTACATATACAACTCTTAAAGGTACAGTGGGAAAACAGCCCTAAATCACGTTTATAAGTAAACATAACACAAACGTTTTATTTTCCATGAGCATTTTTGATTTCAGCAGTGTCATAACGTCCTGGGAACAGATAGTAATATTGTAGCTCTGTTAGATGTGAATGTTGTACAACAGCGTTACATTCCCTGAAGCACTGAAGCTCTGCTTTCCATATGTTTCCCATGACTCCACACGTGTAGATGCATGGCTGTTTTTCCATGCCTGTCTGTGTGCGTTCATATCTGATGGCTTTGGTGTTTGAATGATAATTTTGAGGTCTTTAATTGCCCGGAGGGTGCAGGCTGGCTGCATCTCTTTGTGTTTGGTGGACGTTGCATTCACTCTATTTGTCAGCTGCTCTGTACATTATCTTTTTCATAAGGGACTCAGTCATGCATTAAACACTCAAACCAGAGGACTGAAAGTGTCTCTTCTGCTTCAGATGCCGTGATCTCAGTGTGCTGAGTTTATAATCTGCCCATGTAAATTAGAAGTCTGGGTTATTTTATTATCAGCGTTTGAGCTGGACATAATATGGGGTGGTATGGATCCACATCAACTGATGGCTGCCGGTAGAGGAAGCTGTTATTATCCTGTGGTTTCACCTCACAATCCTCATCTCATGTTTTCTCCTCAGGATCTCCACCGACGATTTGAGGGAGCTCCAGAATCTGCCAAAACCAAGGCCCTGCAGACTGTCATCGAGATGAAGGCAAGTGTGTTTGTGTGTGTTTGTTGTAAGTAAATCCCAAACTTTTGGGTTCTTTCTAAGTAGGACAGGTTGCTTTAAAAATAATGTTATCTAAATTGCAACTTTCTCATATGCCTGAAACTGTCATATTGGGTCAGTTTTGTAATTGTACACTACTGCTCAAAAATTAGTACGATTTTTTTTTCCCCAAAGAAATGTATGCTTTTATTTATCAAGGACACATTAAACTGATCGAACGTGACAGTAAAGACATAATATTACATAAGATTTCTGTTTCAGATAAATCCTGTTCTTTTGAACTTTCTGTTCATCAAAGATTCCTGAAAAAATGCATGTTTTATTTTCTACAAAAATATTAAGCAGCACAGCTGTTTTCAGCACTGATAATAAAAAGCAGAAAATCAGTATATTAGAATGACTTCTGATCATGTGACACTGAAGTACCGGAGTAATGAGGCACAGGAATAAATACATTTTTTAAATATATTAAAATAGAAAACCGTTACTTTAAAGTGTAATAATATTTCACAATATTACTGTTTTTTTTTCTGTATTTTGATCAAATAAATGCAGCCTTGGAGAGCATTAGAGACTTCTTTCATAGACATAAAAAAATCAACTTTTGAACGGCAGTGTATTTGTCCTCAGTATTTTTTGAAAGTAAAAAATATTTTAAAATGGTATTGCAAGACGTTTTGTATAGCCGAGATTAGAAGGGATCAACAGTATATCTGCACAATATCATTATCAACATTATATTAATTTACTGGTATCTGCCAATATTGATTCATTATTAATGCAAACTCATTTCCCATATTTTTACATTTTAGATTACCTTTGCTCATATAGATTGCCTAATGCTCACTTAAAAAAACACTAATAATTTAATCACAGTTAAATGTAGCAAATGTCTTTAGTAAATCTCAAAATGAACATCCATTTTTTTCTTACTGTGCATTATAAACTCGTGGTGCCTAAATTCAATTGTGGCATTTCAAATAGATTTTAGGTTGTCGTTTATAGGTTATCGACCGTAACATGAAAGCAATTATTATATTCATGTTTCAAACCAAAAGTTAAAAACACTTCTGTATAAAAAATAGATAAGACACTCCATTCCTCGGCTTTGTCTGTCTCCTCCTCAAACATCTCTGTATCTCTGCAGGACTCTAAGATCAGTTCTCTGGAGCGCAGTCTGAGGGACCTGGAGGACGAGATACAGATGCTCAAGTCAAACGGGGCTGTCAGCACAGAGGAGAGAGAGGAGGAGATGAAACAGATGGAGGTCTACCGCAGTCACTCCAAGTTCATGAAGAACAAGGTAGAACCTGCGGCTCATGGGAACTGCAACTGTTTTGTTTTGGTGCTTTTTTAACCTGTGCAGGTCACGAGTTATTTGAGCACAGATTTATTGTTTTTGACTCTTTGTTAGGGTTAAATATTACCAGGCGTCATGTGGTGTTGCTAATATTTACTCTAGCACTAGTGTTATGGTATGGTATGTATTGCAGCTAGATAAAGAAGCATAAAATCGCCAAAATTTTCATTTTATCTGGTCAAACCTGGCCACTTTTGACCTGTTGCATTTTTAACATTTTTTTATTTTTCCTTTTATAGTATTTTTTTTATTATTTTTTTATATTTTTAAAAATTAAGTATACATTTTATTTTTATTCTCTATTAAAATATTGTTTTTCTTTAGTAAACTTTCTGTTTAGTTTAAAACAAAATATTCCCATTTTAATCGCAGCTAATTGGCTACATCATAACCGCATGGCCTGTGCGGTGAATGCTGATTGGTTTGGATTGCTGATGACATCACGTGATCGTGGGTGATGTTTGGTTGGACGCAGGGTGTGCATGCGAGCTGGTGATTGGTGGTTGTTGCAGTAACAGCGCCCTCTCCTGACAGGTAGAGCAACTGAAGGACGAACAATGATTTTACCACATCCCCCATATTATTTTTCTTTCGCAACTCCAGGTGCTCTGGAAAAAAAATCAGTGTGCCCCTTGTTATCCTCCAGTATAGTGGAAAACTACATTTAGCAAATTTTGTGTTTGCATACATCAGAATATGTAGGGAAAAAAAATCTCAGTTTCACAACAGTTGTTCCCAAAACAGTTGTTATATATAAATATAAATTAAAAAATATGTTGTTATATAAAAAAATATATGGTATAAAAGTACATAAAATATTTAAAATGGCAGTTTTATTTTAGTATATAGTATTTATATAGTATTTATTAATTATTTCAATGAGCTTTTTATTTTTGTTTTCAGTTTTCATTGTAATTTTAGTTTGTTAAAGTAATTGTTATGCACTTTTTTGCTTTTTTACAATTGCTTTTCTGTCATTTTCTGTCAATTTATATTTTAGTTTGTTTATCTATCTATCTGTTCATCTATCTATCCATCTATCTCTCTATCCATCTATCTATCTTTTTTTTCCAATTTTATTTCAATTTTATTTATTTCAATTACTAAAAATCAATAATAGTGTTAGTTTTTGGTAACAATAACAACACTGCCTGTATGTATCAGTCACATTTTCTATATCGGCGCATTCTCTCAGTATTCTGATTAGTGGTCAGTCAATATACTGTAGGTTTTTCGTACTGATTGACCACCTCAGTCTTTGTTTTCCATATAAAATTCAGCTTAAACAGAACTTAAAAAGGAAGTCATAGCAAATGTGCTCTTGGACACAAAGACAAACAGTCCCAACACTTGACAGGATGATCAATGATGGGAGGGAACAGTGGAAAAGGTCCCAGGCAGTGAAGGGAACTGATCAAAAATATTCGCTTTCAAATCTCGACTGCGTATCAGTGGCCGCCTGTCGTCGCAATAACAGGATCGGTGGGCGGCAGTGGTTCAGGCCGGCGGCTGGAGTCTCAGGGTTTCTCTGATCAGGAAAGCAGAGTTGCCCAATACTGTGCCAAAAGGTCGGATGCCACACTAGACTCCCACGGTGCTTTTTACCCATCTCGCTTTCTTTGTTTGTAGCGCTGGTTGGAGTAGAGCACTAATGTCCACGAGGCTTGATCTTTCTTTCTCTATCACTCTGAATTGTCTCTCTCGCCATCTCCTGTGCCTGTTTTCACTAAGGTGACTGGCAGCCAGTAGAGTTACAGCTTTAGGCCATGCTAACCTGCTATAGCTGCCCCAGTGCATGCTGGGAATGTCAAGACTGTGTCTTTAAATTGGAGATGGACACTTGTCTGTTTTATAGCGTCTTAACTCTGTTACTGTCTGTTTATGGAAAATTGATTTAAATTTGTACTTAATTTAAATGCTTGTGTATCTTGCAAGAATGATTTTTTTTTTGTGGATGTTTGTTTTTTGTAAAAAAAGACTGAGCATTATGGAGTTTCATGTGTCCATCTTTTTTAAACTCAATACATCAAGTTTCCTATTTACAGGAATTGCTGTATGATAAAATTACCTGGTAATGATCTGTGTTTCTGCAGTGTTTAATTCAACGGATTTGCAATTTAATTAGTCTAATATGTGTTTAGATGACCTTAAAACAGGGTAAAACTCCAACGTCAGACCTGTCACTACAGATTTCATTCTGTTTTATGATTTTAAAGCAAAACATTGCTGCATTTACATTCTGCACAGGCTTTTTCGGGGAGATTGTGTTTGAGATTTGACCAGAGCTTCGATGTCTGGTTTGAAGGAGAGTTTGAGTTTTCCACATACTTAGACCGAATGTTTGTCTTGTACAGATTGACCAGGTGAAGCAGGATCTCTCCAGGAAGGACACTGAGCTCTTGGGTCTGCAGACTAAACTGGAGACGCTCACCAATCAGTTTTCTGACAGCAAACAGCACATCGATGTACTCAAAGAGTCTCTCACTGCCAAAGAACAGCGTGCTGCCATCCTGCAGACTGAGGTAAGAGTTACGTTATGGCAATGAATTGGCATTGTATGGTTGTATAAAAAAAGAAATTCCCATATTTGTGAATTATATGTCCCCTTTTATATATATATATATATATATATATATATCCAAGTAATCATTTTTGCCACTGACATATTTCTGACATAAGCTCATCTAGTTAGCCAGCTAGATAACTTTAGATTGTTCTTTTTTAAGTTTATTCATTGCATGAATTGGTTAAACTGGTTCACAGAATCAACAAATTGATCTAAATAAAGTAATCTTTTAAAAACTTACTTAAAAAGACTGGGAAGAAACTGAAAGCATAATAAGCATTAAGCCAAATTCATAAAAATAGGATTAATTCATAGCAAAAAAAAGGGGTTAAGTTTGCAAGGCGTAAAAAGATGTATGTGATCATCAAACACACCAATTAATTAATTAGCGGTACTTAAAATACAAAAATACTAGTTTTTTTTTAAATAAATACACCACCATAATGAATGTAATAAAATACAATTTATGTATTTGATACTCTTAATATATAAATTATTCACAAGCTTTATATTCCATTTATTATAATTGATATAAATAATGTTTCTTTTTGTCTTTTGTGTTGATGAAATGTTATTGTATTTTATGTATTTCCCTGCCTGACCATTAGGGGGCACTGTTGTGTCAAACATGTTATTTGGCTGTTGTGAAATTGTATGAGCATGAATGGCTTCTTTGTGTGCTTTTAATTCTGTAGTTAGTCTGTCATCACACTTTTTATCATAATCCAGTGTTACCAGTGCCAGCATGTGATTCATGGAGTTTAGCTGACGGTTAATGTCAGTATTACTGGGTTCCTGTACATTGTCATGAATAATACTGTTTTAATGTACAATAAGTGTCAGTTCATGCATCTGGATGAGCTTTGTGCCTGTGTATTTCAGGTCGATGCTCTGCGTTTACGTCTGGAGGAGAAGGAGGCTATGCTTAATAAAAAGAGCAAGCAGATTCAGGAAGTGTCAGAGGAGAAGGGCACCCTGAACGGAGAAATTCACGACCTTAAAGACATGCTTGACGTCAAGGAACGCAAGGTCAACGTGCTTCAGAAGAAGGTAAATGATAGACACCGCAGCAAAATTGTTTGTTGCTTAAAATCGAAATCGCTGTCGGTAGGAAATAAAACATTTTGGTCAAAACAAACTTTTGCATTGCGGCAGTGTATGCATTTGTAAACATCATTGCGCCCTTCAAACGGGTGTCATTTTCTCCTCCTGAATGTAGATGGCACTGTTAGGCCACGTTTGATGAGCTCTGGCGAAATGCTTGAGACCAGCCTCACCAAATATCCCTTTGTGTAAATTTATGATTTCTAAAAGTAGGGAAAAGTTGTGTTTGTGATGGCGACGGAGTCTCCTGTTCTCAGAAATGACACACAGGCCGTTAACCTCAGGCTAACAGCGGGCGCCAAGGTTTATAAGTCTGTTCTGCATCTTTCATATCCATGCAACAGCTGTTTGCTTCTGCCTCGAACCCACGTCAGATATACAGGAAGCCGTAGGTTTCGCCGTTCCCGCCGACATCGCTTTTCATCGTCAATATTTAGGGTGCAGCTTTGAACTTCATTTCACAATATACATACAATCTTTGACAGAAATCTGCGCTCAAACGGTGCCAGGTCCAAACTATCGCTGACATGTTTCCAGCTCGTCGTACTGTACTCTTTGAGTTTGTCAGAGGCTGTTTCCATACGGATTGTCTGTAGCTGGTCGTCCCATGAGGCAATGCTTCAGCGGTCACATCACATCCGACTATCAGTTTCAGTTCTTCTGCGCTGAGATCACAGGCTGTGCAAACAAGCCCCCCATCCGCAGGCTCATTAATCTTGAGTTAGGGATAGCCTGAGTGCAGAGAACCCACAGTGAGCTCACCTTTATTGGGAAAACAGGAAGTTGTGTATCTCTCTAATGGACATTCCAGGGATAATGTTGCAGATCATGCTCCTAAGATCGCTGTAACTTGTGTCATATGTTATTTTACAACCAAGTTTCCCAAAAAAGCACATGGATCATTTGCAATAAAGTAAAACTCAAGTATGTTTGCTTGAATGGCTAAAAGCTCTACCTCTTTGAATTACGCTCCTTGTTTACAGGAAGTGGCTGTTGACTGATAATCGTTACCTTGGAAGACCTTTTAAGGTTGTAAATTGTGATGTTTTTTTTTTCTTTTCTAATACAGATTTTAGGATATCGCTCAAGTCAAATGCTTTTTTTTGCAAGTTTAGTTTTATATTCATAAAATAATGTCTAAATGTGTTAAAATCCTTAGTATTTTTAAAATAACTACACACACACACACACATAGTATTTTAAGGCTTTTGTGAATTTTAAACAAATTCTTTTGTATACTTCCAGTATACTTCCATGTTTTATTAAAGTGAATTGTGTTAAAAATAAGAAAGCTCTATTTACATCACATATAAACAGATTATAGTGATAAAACAGTGCTTGCATACTTGCTGTTTACCCTGGAAGACCTTTAAAGGTTGTAAATAACTTTCTTTATTCCAAAAACAGACTTAATGATACCACTTTAATGTCAAATTCTTGTTTTTTGCACGTTTCTTTTTTTTGTTATTGTTATATTCATAATTTAATATGTACATTTGTGAATTTACTTTACTTTAAATTATTATTATTTTTAAATAATATATGTAACATTTAGAAAAAAACTTAAATTGTAAATTGTCTTATTAATGTAATTTTTTTTGAAGAAAAGCACATATAAGCAGTTTACAGTGTGATACAACTGTGCTTACATACTTTGTTTTTGAAAAAAAATAAAAAACTAATTTAATTTAGGAGTGTTTCATATATGAAGACCTGACACTCTCTAATCGTTGTCTTTTTTCCCGTTATTGTTTTAGTTTCTTTTTTTTTTTTGTCTATTTTCTTTCTCTATTTGTCTCAACCGCTTTGCTTCTCTTCACAGTTTGAGTCTGAAAGCCTCTCGGAGTCATCAGGGGCACGATGAACTTTTTTTTAAAGCCAAGTGCTCTCCCAAGCCACAGAAAGAGAAACATTTAGTTTCCATTATAGTGCCTGAGCCACTCTGTATTGCCCCAGAGTTGTTCCTAATGGCCATAACACATTGAGACAGTGCTGTGAAGGTATGCATGGGGCTTCTCAACAGGACACCATTCAACGCACAGGTCAAACACGAGAAAACGACAAACTGTACAGAGCATGCAGGATTACATCCAGTGAAGAAAAACTAGAGCATATGTATCATTTTGCATTTTTAGACACCTTTATGTTGCAGAATTCTTCTATAGACGTTTTTCCTGAACGTGGAAGTTATGCATGACTCTTAACCAGAAGGATGCTTTGCATTTCCGGTCTCCAGTGTTTCTAGTCAAATTAGCGTATATTCCGAGCTGATAATCTAATGTTAATCCTATTTAAATGGGTTCCTATGGAGACCGGAACAGAAGAGCATCCAATCCGTAGTTAGAATTTGTAATGGCGGCACTCATAGTTTACTCAGAAAAAAGGTCTGTAGAAGCCAAGAATTTATCATGTTGATACCTTTGAACATTTAAGACTAAACTTCCTCCTCAGGTCGCCTAGACTGTTTATGGAAATGTGTGATTAAGAAATAAATATGATTTTGGCATCACAACCATCAGCTCATTAACATAAGACTTCCCACATTTATATAAGTCTGCAAATTCATTAATTAGAAACTTGCCCTGTCTTGATAAATGATTTTTGCACTGCTTAAGATGTCAGCCAATCATAGCAGAGCTCATTTGCATATAGAATTCTGCAAGATAAAGGCTGCATCCAATGTTTCTCATTTCTCAAGTATTCAATTTCGGATGTAGCCAAAGTAGCAAAGAGTGCCTGTTTAATTCCAAGGGTTAGTGAGAGTGGAAAATATAATGTAAAAAACAAAATTCGGTCTGTTAAACTTTGAGTAACATTACAAGCAGACTTAAAAAAAAAAAAAAATCAAATGCTCCAGACGTGTAGAATATGGCCTCTAAATAAGCTACACTGTTTAGTTCTTTCAAACAACACTTAACACTGTTACATTTGCACGCTCAAAAATGAGCTTTGCTAGACGGTGTGTGTCTGTGTATACAAGTGAGTAAATGAATAGATACACAGTGTCCTGTGAAGTATGCATTCGTTCTCAGAGGAGGCCTAGCTTGGGCTGGTTTCTTTTTTCTCACACTCTCCTTTAATGTCTGAACATAATTTTTTCTGTCTCTCGGAGCTGTTTGGCTTTGTAATTGTTTTCCCAGCGGCTCTGGTTCAAGTGCGAAGCTCTCTGCCTTCTCAGTGGCACCGTTTGCCTGCGCGGATGTGTGCGAATGCGTGCCGAACGGAGCAAAACACCTCTTCCAGCGGCAGCCGAGAGACTGGGCCCGCTCTTTTCCTTCTTTGTTTATATTCAGTGTTTTGTGTTTAACCGAACACTTACCCTTTAACAGCCTGGAAAATAACAATAATTTAATTTGCAACTGTCAGATAAGGTGACAGACAGATCCACAGTGGAAGCGGCTGAACTAGATATTGAAAACAGCGGTTTGGATGGGAATTCTTTTGCAAGTTCACTGCAGGACAGGCTGCAGAAAATAACATTTGTTAATGCGAGGAGGGCGGAATACAAGACACAGTTCAGCAGAACTCGCTCAAGTATGTAAACTCCAGTCGAATGTCTTGATGGAGAGCAGCTCTCTTTGGCATGAGAGGGTCGCCAGAGACATTCTGTCTTATGGATGAAATGTCCTGTTTTTTACCATGTCTGGGGGTTTTTAGCATTATTAAATCCAACTAGGGTTGTGCTTAATAAAAATAAGGCTATCTGCATCTTATTTTGAAACAAAATGTTTAAATTACAGCGCATTAATTCTGTTCTTCAGACCACACCAAAGAAATTAAACCTGTTTGTTGACTTTGCGGTCAGAGTTTCGCTCTATCCAGATGTAATAAACACCCAATATTGAGCGTTGCTCAAGGAATTTGTCTGCAAACTTTCGAAACACAATCCGGGACATTGAGGTTCTTGCAAAACTCTTTTATTGAGACGCAATTTCATGAACCTCATGAACTTTCAGCAAATCCAGCAACTATATTTTTCTTAGAAGTAACAGCCTGCTAACTTCTAAACAAACTTGACACTTTGACGACATAAAACTATCGTCAAGGTACAATGTGCGTTGGACTGCACTGCCGTTCAAAAGTTTGGGGTCAGTATGATTTTATGTTTTGAAAGAAATTAATACTTTTATTGAGCGAGGATGCATTTAAAGTGATCTAAAGTGACAGTTAAAGGCGTTTATAATATTATAAAAGATTTCTGTTTCAAATAAATCCTGTTATTTTGAATTTGCTGTTCATCAAAACATCCTAAAAAAAAATGTATCATGGTTTCCACAAAAATATTAAACTATTTTCAACATTGATGATGATAAGAAATGTTTCTTGAGCCTCAAGTCAACATATTAGAATGAATTCTGAAAGATCATTTGACACTGAAGACTGAAGTAATGGCTGCTGAAAATGTAAAGTATATTAAAATAAAAATATATTAAATAAATAAAAAAATTATATTTTATAGTTGTAAAATATTTTAATTAAATATATGACAAATATTACAAATATATTAAAATCCAAAATGGTTATTGTAAATTTAAATTTGAAAACATTTACTGTATTTTTGTTCTCAAATGCAGCCTTGTTAAGCATAATAGACTTTTTCTTACCAACACTAAACTTTTGAACAGTAATGTACAGCAAACCAAAAGAGTCATCATTGTTGTTTTATTTTAACAACAGTGATTTAAAATCCATACAGCGGTTTGTGATTGACTGAAACCAAGTTTTTAGTTTTTGCGCCAGTAGAATTGAGAGTTTTACTTCATTAACAATGACTCACCGTACATGTAACGTTTCAACATGTATTATGAAGTGTATCGTATTCCAGTATTTCATCAAAGGATGTCCCCATGCGCATTCGCAGAGGGTTTGGGCTAAACCCTGAACATTCACTGACCCCACAACCGCCCCCGTGGATGAAGAGCTTCCAATTTGCTACACTTTTAAAG